TTCTTATAAGCAGCTTGCGTGGGAACGGTAGTAGATGGCAATGAAAGTGAATCATCAAAAAAGACTGCACAGTGACGGTCATCAGAACATTAACAAAATTGTCGTCGACCTTCAACGTGTTGACGACGATAAAGCCCTCAATAAAGACAAATTTGATATTGAATTGAATGCGATACGGCCATGATCTATATATATACTATAACTGATTCATTATTATAATACCAATATATGATTAAATACACGTTTACGTATAAATAATCGTAGAGTACATAACTGTAAAATGTCGGTTTTCGTTACGAGACAACAAGGTTAGATCAGTCCGGTTGATTTTGATGACAACTGTGGGATGGCTGGCGATTTGGGAATCTCGAGCAGACTCGTTGAATGCCTGAATGGTGGAGAAACGTCGAAACTGGCATTTCACAGGGTCCCGTGAAAGAGTTGAAGCAAAGGATTTCAGCCGCAATTGAGGATATCGGGCTGTCAACCGACCACATAATACCAAAAGCACAACGGTACTTTCACGGGACATTTCAAGTGTAGTTCGATTCGCATAAATAGGGAGCGACTACATGAGACAGCTTCAAAAATGAAATATACGACCGTTCCCCTTTCAGATTACCTGAATCGTTCTTTTTTTGCTACAAGAGGGGCAAGGATTTGTATGATCTAAGTGAGAACTGATAAATTATATACTTTGTTATAGTGGTAAGAATCAATCCCTACGCCGAGTTAGTTGTATTAGGAACTATACGTCAGAAATGCTCGACACCTGCTTCGAGAGCCACACCCAACAGAGAGGAAACACCTATAGTTGCTTTGAGAAAGGGAATGTCAACTCTCGCAGGTTGCGGTTGTGAAGGCACGGCAAACAAGAGTGGCAGGGTTCAGCTGTGTTGGCACTGTGAGGTTCGAAGGACATACTGTTAATACGCCAATTCGTATGCGCTATTAGAGATACAACCCCTTATTTTTTTGAGAGATTTTCGGCCTTTCATCACCTAAAATTCATTGTTATAGCAATAACTTCACTCGGCCGTTTTTCAGTTCATACCGTCAGTGATGAAAACATTTGCCCAATTTGCAACAGCTGCTCCCCAGGGTAACACAGTATTGCTATATGTAAGAAGTTTGTTTTTTAATCATTTTAAGTATAAAGTCCCGCACTATTCTCAAACGTAATGTTTACATTATTATTATGTACTTATATTTGTTTTGACTCGAGCTTTTTTTCGTCTGTTTTATTTTCTTTAGTCCTTTATCTTTACAATTTCATAGGGTATTTGTGAGTAAAATACTTGACGCCTATTGTACTAACTTAAAAAGTGAGCTGCCTGGGTTGGGTTATAGCGCATTCTATGTCTAAAGAGTGCTTAGGTACGTTGAAATGGAAGCTACTATAGAATCACGTGCTCCCATCTTTATATAAACATTTATTACGATGTGGTTTGCAAAAACGTGTTCCAAATACTGTTTTATGTCTAACTTTCCTACGTCAAGGTAGCGCCTCCATTGTTATTAATTAGTCAGGTTATTTACAATGACTCGACTAAAGCCAAGACCGAATCCATTCTTAGTCACCCAATAATTTAAGTTAACATCTGCTAAAATTTTATAGATTGTTCATCTAGTCTTTACATTTTTAGTGTAATCGCTCTTAGAAGAAACAACTTTTCGTAAAAATAAAATCTCGCGTAGCAAAGAGGTTCAATGCTTTCGAGAAGACACATTTCTGATATGTTGTGAACCCAATGTCTCCATCTAATATTACACAATTGACAAAAACAGCATCATGAAAATTTTCTATCTACGCTAAGAGCCATTTCCCCTGAATTAATTTGACGTTATTAGCTTCTTTCAACCAGTGAAGTAAGGGTACGTGCAGACCCTCATTTAGTGATGAACAATTTATTGCGGAGACGCTAGCCTCGAGTCTGCACGAAGCATCAGCTGCTCAACTCCCAAGGTAACGACTCTACCTGGTTGATCAAAGAGAAGACAGACGTTGGTCTGTTCTTTTGATCATTTCGTTCCAGTGTCTTCGTGTTGTTTCCTGGTAGAACCATTTGGTTGATCCCATGAAAACTTTACCGAACACCACTACTGGCCAAAAAGGTCACGGGTCCAAATGTTAAAATCCACCGAAGTACTCGTTGAAATTCGAGGGGTACCTAACCCCAGCTAGATTTATTAATAATACACTTCAGTGAGTAATTCTGACAAACCTGGGTTATTGGGCGGCCATATGTGTTTGGCATATGGGCAGGTGCGTCGTTTTGCTGGAAAACATACGGCCTTCATTTGGGCGGTTCAGTTACTCGTGGTCGCGTAGCAGTTTATACAACATGCGGATAAATTTCTTTGTTGATATGTTCACCGTTGCGAAACAAGTGTGGTGGCATGAAGTCGTCATTGTTGAACTTCAACTACAGAACATGAACAGTGGCCGTAAAACTTTTTTTTGGGCACATTCTCTGGATCGCCAGCAAGCCAGTAATGATTTCTGCAATCGATTTTTGCGCTATTAATATAAATTTTCTCGGAGAATAATTAAAAATTACCTTCCTAAACATTCCGTGACACAGCAGTCCTGCTCGTATGAAGCTGCTTCGCCTATGAACTGATAGATATAGAAGGCCTGTCAAAAATGCTCTTTTGCTTTATTAACTCTCGAATTCACAGTTTTTTTTTTTCTGTATTTCTTATTGTGCTGCTCCGGAACCTATTTCTGTTTCTTTTGCAACCGCATGCGTATCTTAACTGACGTGGAATATTGATCTTTGTAACCCAAAAAGTTCGCAACTTACGGTGAGTGTCCATTTAGCGCTAAGCGATGCGATGATAACTGATTTTCGTTGAAACTACGATTACGACTCGTTGTTTTTTGCCGTGATGAGTTTGTCTCTTCTGTGGAATCAAGAATAACAGATGAGTTGCTATCTGCCATGGCAAGGGGACAGTCAGAAGTTTGTCCAAAATTAGAAAATTCATGGAAAATTTTATTAGAAATAGCACACTTGTTTATGTTACAGGTGCTTTGAAGAACACGATACTATTTACCAGTGATAATTACAAACTACTAGACAGATGTCCGATTCATTTACGTGCATTCATAATGTATATTCAGTTCTTTCTTAGGATTGTAGACCAGCATTAGAGTAGAATTGATACACGACATGCTATAGACGTAGTTCTTTGTCTACTTTGCACTTTTGGAGCGTACAAAACACTAGTTGCAGTTTATCTCAAAATGATTACATCGTATTTATAACGCGCATCAAATTGGCTTTACCCAAAAGTTTGAGAAGCAGTATATGTATTCGGTGTTGTCAGTTGTATAATATGGAATACAACGTCACATGGCGTTTGTCTGATACAGTGTATCAGAGCTTCAATCGTCTTACCAAATATGAAGTGTTAGTTTTGTTTAAAATGTCCTGGCAAGTGTAATGCGTGAATTCATTTATTATATTACCAACGGGAATTATATCAAGTATACAGTCTCGTCAAGTTTGACTTACTAAACCTTTTTCTGTTTTTATGACTGCCTGTGACTTATGTCATTAGGATTAGTTTGGCCTAACCAATTCTATACAATATCCAGACATTAGGTTGGGTATATTAATCCCAGATCCCGTTCATACTCTTCTTTCCTCTATACTGGTTGATCGTGCGCCCGACTCCAGTGGCCATTATTCTACGGATGCTCCTATAAAGTAGCTTGCACCTACATCCCATATCTCTTATTTATTAGAATCGGTTCTCTAGATTGGATCAACTGACTATAATGTTTGATGAAAATCATCGATATTGTAGCGTGTTTCTCTTTATTTAACCTCGAAGGCTCTTACACATTTTGCGTTCTGGATTCTAGAAAGATTCCCGGAAAAAGCCGAGAAATACTTCTGAAATTGCATCAGTTGGTGGAAATAGGCCTTCGGTGGCAAATTTATTTCAACTTAGATGTACCTTGCAAACAAACCTATTGATTAGGTTGGCTCGTATGCATACATTCTATGCGCTTTGCGTTTGCAACTCTTTGTACAGGGACTCACTATTGGCGTGTTGTCGTTGTTGTTCACCCTGATGCTCAGATGATTTCGAGGCGCGCAGACGCCCAGATAGATCAACAAGCAAGAAAAAAATGGTTATGCTTTTTAATACAAAAAAACATTCGTCTTCATGATTATAGCAGGTTTGGAGTCATTCTACTACGGCAAATATTTACCGGCTGGCACGTCGGGGCAACTGTGTTCACTTTATGACTCAACGTGACCAGACACAATCATCTGTTAGGATTTTCTTTCAGGTGCAGAATAAATGCAGGAAACTTCGGCATATACGCTGAACCTGCAGTCGTGATGGGAAGTACAGGTTTTTTTGACCTGGTGATTGTTTTGTCATAAAAAATCACATACTTTACACGTGCGGAAATCCTGTTTAGAGCAAATACTAAGCTTCTTGGGGTCATCCAAATGTATGATGGCTTTACCGTCAAAAGCTTTTCATGTTCAATTTAAGTAACCTATGATACAGTTCTACGTAAGAGAAACAACTGTTGGATGGTGGCAGTTGAAAAAATGAAAAAAAAAAGATCGGAAAGAACTTGACTTTTCGAATTAGGAGTATGTAGAGGTCAAGATTGATAATTCTTGGAAATTTTGCAAAAACTTGTAAGCTATGCAATGGTACTGGAGTTGATACAATAATTGTGTAGTAAAAAAAATGCAATGAGACAAACTAATTGACTAAGAGGTTATGTGCTGCCTAAAATGGCAGATCATCTAGAGTAATTTGCAGCCATGATCTGCCTGCAATAAAAACTCGATTGAAAGTATTCCTGGGAGCTGGCAGTATATTTTAATAGCTCACAACAAGTAGAGCTTGATGCAGTTTTACCCAGTTAATTGTTGTTAACATATTCTTGTCCGTTTTCGGCGGGACTTGTACTTCAATATTTACAACTCACTTACGATTATCTACCCTGTCTGTGATTTCAGATTGCACACCAAAAACAAATTAATCCTGCCTATTGATTTCTTATTTCTGGGTTTTGTGGTTTACGCACCGGTAGATTAACTAAGGTAAGCATTAAAGTGAATTCGGAAGTGGCAACATTAAGTGACGAGCAAGAATTACTAATAGTAATAGTATAATTTTGTCCAAGTAGATAGAACGCAGAAACTTCACCGTTCTTCGCACACTATAATTTCTGCTATTCATGAACGCTTTGGAAATCGAGTCCTATACAGTTCTTGCTGTCCTTCATTTGGCAATGGTTATCACCATTGTTGTCATCGTTGTTGACATCTCTGCTGTAGTTCGGGGCATAGCGTTAGTGTGCGTGTGCTCTTAGTAAAATTGTCGTTGTTGTTAGTGTCTAGCCCGTTGTGAAACGTTCTGCCTACGTCTTGACACCCCAGTGGGATTCTTCACATAGCAAGGCCCAATAAACTGAGAAAACCCAGCACAATAAACTAAGCTATGTGACGATAATGAGCATATATTTGCATTTTCATTCTCGTTTTCATCGCCAAACGTTACTTTTCATTATGAAAAATTGTCCCTCATCTATTTTCTTTATCGTCCATGCTTCCATTACTGATGATAGTTATCCTTATCAGGCTGGGGTAGTAGGTTTAACTGCGTTTCCTTCTTATATAAAGGGCAGCCGCCCAAGGAAAAGCCTCTGCAGAATGTTTTAGTTCATATCAGTTATAATAATATTCAGTGCTCAAAAGAGATGTAAAAAATGACACGGATCGTATATATGTATATACAATCCGTATATATGTGCGGTAAGAAGGCAACTAGACAAGCCAATTTACGGCTTGTCCTGAAGGGTCTGGTAAGTCCGTATGTCAGAAGAGCACTTGACAAGCTTCAACTAGTTTGCAATATATTAGGCTGCCCTGATAAAGATTCATCTTTATTTTAAATAGGAAAAAAAAACAGTCGTTTATAGGATAATTTAAAGCTGCCTTCTTCTACCAGTTGTGTATCAAAACTATTGCTCTGTAGGTTTCTTAAGACCGTATAGTTACGATTTGCATTATCAAACATAGTCTTTTTATAACCTAGTTTTTATTGATCAAATGCATAATGAGTTTTTATAATGGGTCCAATTAACTGGTTTCGTTACCGTTGGTATGGAAACAATTAAATGATCTTTTAATCGTGCGACCGTTAATTCCGGTCCTAATTTTTACGGTTCGATACGGCTGGATTGCCGAGTAACTGTGCTGAGTGAGTACTATTAACGAACTATTTGTGGTTGTACTTTTTCATCAAACTAAAATACCAAGAAAAATTGATTTTTTTTCTCGCGAATACTTGCTGATTAAAATGCCTATTGGTATAATCTACGTTGCCTGCCTTAACGCCAGGAAGTCACAATTTAACTTGACGTTTTTTAGAAGGGGTACACTAGCATCTGGCTCGTCTTTAATTTTCGAATCCGCCAGGCGCTTTTTGCCAGCTTGAAATCACGTGCAGATATTGTACTTGGAAGTAAATTTCTCAAGTATGCTGTACTGCGCGCTAATTAAAGCAGATGAGATGAATAGTCCCACCAATTAATGAGTTTGTTACTGCGAATTTTGTGATAATACGAAGGGTTATGTTTATTTAAAAACTGACTGGGCTCTAACTGTTCTTCAAATTTAGCTTACTACCTGGGTGTGCTTTGTGAGGTACGGAAATCTTAATGTCATCGGCCAACCCAATGATCATTAGAACACTGACACAAAAATTACTACAACCTCTACAAATGTTGATATATGATAATGTTTTTTGTATCTAAAGAGTCAAATTGTCTTGTCGTTGATACCAAGGAATCGTCGATAGAAAAATAGAGAAGCCGAGCACGAAATATGCGTTGGCTTTCGCGAGTGGTTTCTGTTGTTGAATGCTACCTTGCTGATAGCAATCGTATCTCAGAGAAGGAAGAGCAGAGTACAAACTAGTACGCGTAAACGAGCTAGAGTGATCGGCAGAAGGTGTATCTAACTGAAACCTTGCAAACTATTAAAATTTCTTTCTTTGCGTATCTGTAGACGCTTAGAGTGCCCGTCTGCTTCAGTTAAGGAAAATCCTACAGCCAATGATGCCTCTCTCAGTGAAGCGACCTAGGGGCCGGACCTGAAACGCCAATCTCGGCGAGAAATGAACCGGTGGTGGAGTAAAGAGACGTGAACGTCTGAAATCTGAGAAGGGGTGCAGCGACAAACCACTGTCGAAAGAAAAAAAGAATCATTGGGTTAAATAGAAAATGGAATAGTGTCGTCGCTGCGATAGTGGTAGGAAGAGGAAAAAATGAGTGTCCAATATTTGTACTCGTACAGAAAAAATGGAAAGACAAATGAAAAGAATCAGGAAGAGGAGAACGAGAAAAGTCTAGAGGACTACGGATTGCGGCTTCTTAGCGCATTTGGAAAGAAGAAAGGAGAATAAGCTTGAGGAATGAGGCCAATGGGAGCTTGAGGGGGCAGCGTCAAGTATAACGACACCGCTAGGTGCGACTGTAATAACAGCATCAGAAACAACAGCTGTGACTGCAGCCAAATGCGCCAAACGGAAGCGGAAAGCCTCGTGCAAAGGAAAAAACGACAGGAAAAAGGCTTTGCCAAGAGGTTGAAAGCCAGGACAGGGAACTGATGGGCATTTGAGCGACGGACTGGCGTCATGGTCAGGATGTCCATGTAGAGCATGTAGAAAATGAGAACCAACTAGTTCACACAGAATTACTGTGCTGTATTTTTGTGTATGTGTGCATAAGCTATGTGCGACCTCACGGATCTGCCGTTTAGACTTTTGCTTCAAACTAAGTGCATGACCTTGTATGAAGATAACGGAATGGGAACAAGCCTTAAATGGGGCCGTTAATTTAATCTTGTGACTAGTGTTACAGAAGGATATCGCAATTTTGAGCTTAAAGACGACATAATACGGCCAAAGACAAGGAAAAACAGTAACCACCAATAAATTTATTTTCTTTCCAGTTTATCTCTCTAAAAAGAAACAAATATACTGAAAGAAAACACCTCAAAGGTGTAAACCTGGAAAGGCTTGAAGTTTTTAATATTTGAGGCCAGGAGATGATTGACGGTCAGGTCTTTATGGATTTTCGGAAGAAGTTTTCTCTTAGGTCATTCGGCTGAATGTTGTTTTTGCCGTGGCGGTGGTAAGTTATTGCAAAGATTAATATGAATAAATATGGGAAACGTGGGCACGCTTATGGTATGATACCATTGCACCTTGAAAGTGCCATGTGTCCGCAAAATTTCGAACGTAACGATGCTGTCGAATATTTAGGCAGGCCACCAAAAGACCTACGATTCCCATAAGTTTCGTATAAAGTGATATCTGATCGGGATTTAAAAAGCATAAGTACACAGATCTTGAAAACAAAAATTTCGATAGCGGAAAAGATAGAGATCAAGGAGAAGACTGAAATGACGCAAACAATTTCGACCTCAAATCGACTGCTACTATGGTTTGGAAAGCAACCACGATAAAAATTCGAACACTGAGTGATACGAGGCAAAGGCTCCAATGGACTGTATAGACTTTGCAACCTGTTGTGAAATTTACTGCTTATCTATATACGTTAAACTATTAATATGGCATACCAAGCGGATTTTCTACTAATAGTGTAGAAATTTTTACGCTCGTTGCAGAATGGAACCACTACTTTTTGTTCGAACGGCCCATAAAAATTTCGTAAATAGGCATTGCTACGGAAGTGCTCTTTTTTAGACAAACTGCTATGTGGTAAAAAGATTTCCGTGATTTTGGTAAACATAAACTGTACGGCATAAACGGCATTTGCGGTCTGTTTGGATGACAGATGTGTTGCTCAAATCATGTTAAATAAAAAACAAATATAAAACAAGACGATGAAAAAATCGCATTTCGAAAAGATGAATGGAAAAGAAATCGGAAAGGCCAAATACATTTAGTCAAGTCGATGGAAAAAGAAACCTGCATCCAGTAGTTTGTTTTGTTTGATATTGAAACACGAGCTTGGTAAAGAATAACAAAAAAGTAAATATTTATGTATATCCCGCAATTTCAGTTAAACCTCGTAGCCATATGCAAATCGTCACCTCTATTCACTCCATGAGTTTTATTTAATTTTTTAGCCGAATAGAGGTTTTGGAATTTGGCTCGTGATTAGAGTCACTATAGTATAACAAAGCGGATAACTGTTAACCATTTGAACCACCGCGCCGGCATTTAGTGGCCTGATTAGGCCATTTAATCCATGCAAATGTATACCTCGTACGGATACGCTTATGGGATATACGATGAACTGAGAAGAAGGGTGCCCTCATTGCCTGTTATGCATTTTAAATGCACGCTTTTGCTCACAGATATTAATCGCAACACAACACTATCACGGAACAACGTATTTGGAGAAACGTTTTATAAGTTCGCACTTTTTTTTAATTTCGTCCCGAAGAGGTTTACCATCCCTTTTAGGCTCTCTTCGTACTTAAACCCGAAATGATGCTCAAGGGTACGTCTAGATCCAGTCTTTATAGGAAAAAGTAAACAGCGCAGGATGCCCTTCATATCACTTAGAAATTATGTTTGAGCATCTGTTAAAAATTGGGCGGCTGAGCTTGTTTAATGCCTCGGCGGCTAACTGTAGGAAAAAACTTTGTTAATTATTGTGCTCTGTATGTCTTTCAATTTCTTTATTTATTTAATTTAATTAATTAATGCTATGTATGTCCTGTTCCTAGCTTGTTGTGGCGAGTGGACTGCACCTTCATGCATAGGTCTTTCTATATGACCTGCGTATGAGGGTCTCAAACCAGGCCTTCTTTTGGAATAGGGTTGGAGCCAGATAAAGGACAGGCACTTTCGGCTAACATATAAACCATATCCAATGAGGCCACAGCAGCATTAGTCTGCTATGGACCCGTCTTTTTTTTCAGAGTAATTAAGAGAAATGCGACGACGAATGCAGTCCTTCTTTTACTGAAAGTCGTTCGATATAAAAAAAAAAGTAGTACGCTGTTCGGCTAACGTCATTATAGAAAGGCCTATATATGTATATATATATATATATATATAA